GTCTTTCAGTCAATCGATGGCAGCGGCGACGATTTCGTACCATCCGCTGTGGTTGGCCAGTGGTTTTCCCTAATGGATAACTATGGATTTCTCAACGGGATTACTGCCGTGAGTTCACCAAGGGTCAGACCTCTTTGCAACGCCAGGACTAACAGCAGACAGCCGACTGATGCCATTGCCTCCCTAATCATGCCCCTTAGATCTCTCATTTCAGCCATATCTATCAAGCTCCTGAACCCTACACGATCCATCGAGTGTCTCGCCGAAGAGGCCCCTGAATATCGCGGAGACGAGGATCCCTACATTACTGCTCCGTCAGTCTTGGAGCAAGTCCACAATGCAATCCTCGCCGCAGCCAGTGCCGATTGCGAGAGCCAAAGCCCCATCATATTTGCATGGACCGTCGTTGTCCACCGCATGTTCTACTCGCATCACGACCGAATCGAAAAGCGAGACGCGCTACAGAACCAGCGATCCCAGGAGACTTTCGAGGCTGGTGTTCTGATTCGGCCCACTACCGCTCGCCGTCTTTCTGCAGGGAGCATTGTTTCTCTCGACGGCAAGTCATTCGACATTTTCTTGACCAATGCGGGTCTGGACAAGGACTTGCAGGTTGTGGAGCAGCTGGCAGTAGCTGTCACATCGCATGGACGGGCTTATGAAGTGTTGTCCGAGATGGCACTGGCTATTGGAGCCTCCAGTGACGGAGCCTTCTCGGCGCTTCTAAGTTCCAGAATCCGGCTTTCGTATGTCGACTTCCTCAAAGCCACATACCCTCTCGTAGGGTATCAGTCAGACTCTGTCACCTCTCTCCTTTCGGTCCTGGGAGCTGGTCAGCAATATTGGGACCTTTCGAAGCCTTCGCTCCACGCCTCAAGCGACATCTTGGCCGAGGTGCTCCACGACGATGCTGCACTCGAATATTACTTCCACCAGGCCCTCAACCGTTATCCATTTGAGTTGCTGCCATTCCTCAACCTTTGCAGGACTTTGGCGACCTGCACTGTCGCTGACGACCGGATGGATACGGTAGTCAACCTATTGCGCAAAACCCCATCACTTACCTTCATTCTCCCCGATGACTACCAGCAATACGAGCTAGCCCAGGAGGAAGACAATACCAACACATTTTACCTACTCGAAGACATACCGCTTTTCACGCCTGCTACGGCATGGAATCGCAGAACGCGGGTAGACGATGCATTTAGGATACCCGCGGAAACAGTAGGACGCTTTGTGACGGATACGGGTCGCGTAGTTCTCATGGAGTATGAGCACTCTGCTCTTGCCTTGCTTGGCAAGAGGCTCGAAATCCAACTAGCACCTGAGACTTACCGCAGCGAGCTGGATGCGTTCCAGCCAGAAGAAACCGCAGAAACCATTGCTCTCTTAGCAACACTACTGCGCGCGGAGGTACTGAAGTCTGAAAAGCAAGGCTTGAGCGGCGAAACATCGCTCAAGTCGGGACAAGAGCTTTTGGAAGAGGTTGGTAAGCACATCTCCGGGAACAAAGACCTCGTGGCTGTTGTCTGCGAAACCATGGATGCCTACATGCAAGACGAGAAGGCGACCGAAGGACAGGGCATCGCAGTGCTCAACTCATGCGTTCAATTCCTGCATGCGATCCTGCCGCTTTGCCCCACGAGAGTCTGGTCTTACTTGGCGCGTTGCGAACTTCTCAACTCGGAAGCCCAAGCAGGAAAGTTGGCAAAGATCACCGGTAATCTTGACTTAGTTGGGGACCGATATGAACTATTGCTGTCGGCTGTGCGGCTTTTCTCTAGCCTCATTGACAGTGTCAAGAGCAGCGCTGTTCAACGCAAATCCGGCAACAAGCTGGTTGGACGGCAGAAAATATCAAACAACGTTTGGCTCGGCGTGGCGGACAAAGTCTTGGGCAAAGTCAGCCTCGCAATTGCTCAAGCCGCGGTTGACGTCTTTGAGACCTCTTCAACTTGGCGCTTCGGATCAGAGCTTCACAAAGCACTGCTCATTCGGCATGTTGTCCCTGTCATGGATCAGATCATCGAGCACACGTACGGGATGGGTGACCAAGAGAGCGCGGATACGCTGGCGGCTTGCTTGGAACCTGCAGCGTCCTACATTATCGATGCGTTCCTCTCGCCCTCAACAGGGTCTCTGCGGTTCCAGCCGCTCCTCACGACTTTAGTCAATGGTCTCCAAATCCCTGACTCAACGTTCTACCAAGATCGACTAGCCTCAGCTCAGGAACAGCTCACATGCGCTTTGCGATTCACAACAACCTTGCTACGTGTTGCGAGCTACCTGGACAGACCATCGGCGACGTTTGAAGAACACCTCTTCAAGACGTCATCGATTTTGGCGAGGTTATGTGCAATCTGCGAGCAATTCCGGCGACCAGCACTGCTACTCCTGGAGGCTCTGGTGCTGAGCGCTGCCAAAGCTCACGATGATCCTCCTTCTCTTCTGGGATACCTAGGTCCCCTTTTGTCCCGGTCATTTATCGAAGTCTTATCGCGACTCGACAAGCCCTTCCTCGTTACGAAGGATGTGCAGACAACGTGGAAGTTTTTCTCCACGATTGTACAGAACCGCCAGCAGTGGCTATCAAACTGTCTCTTGACAGGCAAGACGCCCAGAGATGCCCTCAAGGGCGTCAAGAAGGACGCTTCATCGACGCCCAATTCGGTGCTAGCGACAGCCTTTGCAAAGCTGAAGAAGATCAAAGAGTTGGAAACAGGCGAGGCAGTTAGGATCCTTGATTTCGTTGCATCATCTCAGAACCATTGGCCTTGGACAATCTTCACCATGCAAAAAGACTCGTCCTTCTTGGACTCTCTGCGCCTTTACGTCAAGGACCTCAGTAGCTTTACAGTCACAAGCAAGACAGATGCCGTCAAGGCTGCCACAGATGCCAAAATGGCCGCTTACATTGCCGAGATATTCGCCATGCAGCTCTATCACTTGCGGCAGATGGGCGGAGCCGACACATTCGCCAAGAGCCTGGTATCCGACCTGGATTACTATCTGCGGGATGGCGTAGAAGTTTCGAGCTACAATACTTCTCTGCACAGCAACTTTGCCAAGAACTTCACAAGCAAATACCCCGGTGTCTCGTTGGAAGCTTTCAAACGGACGTCACTGCGACCCGGTGAGCTTGGCAGAAGCTATTTCTATGACCTGGAGAGTGCAACTGAGATGTTGAGCTTCGATCCAGGCTGGCATGGTCGTCGCAACAATGGATTCCGCAACGAGATGGGGATTGCCAACGCCAACCTGTCCCTAGTTGACGCGCAGATTGTAAGTTTTCACTTGAACATTTGCCTGCCATTTCGGCCCGTACTAACATTACCGTAGTCGCTATTCCATGCGTGGGAATACCTGCTTCTTGAGCTTAGTAGCTCTCTTGTAGAAAACGAAACCATTGCCAGACAAATGTTGCAAGTTGCGCAGCAATGTCTAGAGGCAAACCGGTCTAACCAAGGCCCAGAGAATATCTTCATGCGGATTGTCGAAGAGCGAGCTGATTTGAGCTTGCTCCTCGTCCAGCGTCTTGTTGGCCGCCCCATTTCATCTCACGATGTGAACCAACTTCTGGGAACATTATTCACCATCATCAGCGCTGTCGAGGAACCCTTCAACCCGGACTCAATCTCTTACTACCGCACGATGCTCAAGGCCATCTACGTCACCCTGCGTGCATATAGTGCTGCGGAAAAGAAGTCCCTGGGAGCCTCGAAGAATGGAGGTGACGGCTTCTCGGTCACACTTACTCAGACTGTTCTGAATCTTCTTGACCGAGTAGTCGCAAAAGGGTTCAGAACTCTCGTTGCCCTTGTGCACGATTCCGAGGCTGCCGTTGCACCTGAGGACCTAGCTCTTCTTACGGCCATTCTGCAAGCTTGTCTTAACATGCCTACCATTGACCAATGTCAAACACAGATACTCAACATTATGGCATCATATGATGCCATGCACGCAGCGACATCACTATTTTCTTGGGCTGATAAACTTTCCATCAACGGCGACCCTATTTATGGCGAGTTGAGCTTGCTCTTCTTGCTGGAGCTCTCTACCCTGCCGGCGGTGGCGGAGCAGATGGCTTGCGACGGCTTGCTGAGCCACCTGACTTCGGCAGGCATCACCAACTTTATGCGCCGCGGAAATATTTCTCCCTTCTCAGAAGCTGTTGGACCACAGCGATGTTACAGCATCTGGGTCAAGGGTGTTCTGCCCCTGTTGCTGAATCTCCTCACCGCCCTGGGCGGAACGGTTGCGCCAGAACTGGGTTACGTTCTTAATCAGTTCCCTCTGCTTCTCAAGTCAAGTGTCGACCGATTCGAGGCGCCTGGCGCCAGTCGTACAGCATCGAGAGAGACGCCGCACTACGTGACGCTTCTTGCAGTATCAGAGGTGCACTCTCTGGCTCTGTTGACAAGAGTCATCGCCGCTCTACGGACTGCCAACAACCGTGATATCCCAGAGATCCACTGGGATGCTGCCTCCCTTTTGGAAAATATTGACTTTTGGCTATCGAGCCGCAAGTTGTTGCGCGACAGACTTCTGCCGCTGGGTCAGCGTGAGGTGGAGTGGAAGAGCATCAAAACTGGCGCGTCGGATGAGAATGGCCAGCCAGGAAACGTTCTGGAGAGCAAGGTCCTCTCGCAATTAGAGGCCGTGAGGGATGTACTAAGCGAAGACCTCGAAGAGTCTTGAGGAAGGATGAGGAGGGTTGTTGAGATAGAAATAATGAAGCCGGAGGGTGTTATCGTCGGCCACAAGGGAATGAATGAATTGGAGGGGAACAACGACAAAAAAGGATTTTAGGCGTTCAAGTGTGTAGGATAAACGTGGGTGCATCATACCTATTCCAGCCATCGTCACTGGGAACCCCCATAGTCTACGTAGGATCAAATTCGCGGATACCCCTAGCAGATTGCTGGGTACAACCACTATGACGCCCGCGATCACTGTGGCTTTTGGCTCACAAGTTGATGGCATACAAACACACAGTCTCAACGGCTCATGGAGTAGATATTTTGTGCATTCGTTTCTCCCTTCATTTAGCGGTGTTTATTCCAAACCCGCGAAGAAGTGCTATGCCACGTCTTCTGTCCACCGGCCGGGAGAAAGAAGACAGTAAACATAATGTAATATACATGAAACCCTCCCCGTTCGCGGTTGTCATTCCCAACCTACTCGCCTGGCTTCGTTAAGTTGGAGATCGTGTGTGGTAAATGTTGTAAATCCCAGTGCCTTCTCCTCTTAGACTGGGCTTGTCTGCCTGCCTTGCTGGGAATAATGTTACATCAGCGCGCGCGCGTGCTCGCTCTATCGAACACCGTCGGCGTGCCCATTCTCTTCTCTCTTCTTTTTTTACATCATTTGAAATTTTTCTCGACTGTGATTTTACTGTCCCTGCATCTGGGCCGTCATCTGGGCGTTGTGCTCCTGGAAGCGCTCGCTGAGGCGCTGCTGGGAGAACATCTGCTTCTGGATGCAGCGGGTGATGCAGCCAGTCTCGCGGGAGGAGAGGGACTTTGAGGTGAAGTCGTCAATGCACGAGGTGAAGCAGTGGTCGACGAGGTTGCCAAAGAGCTGTGAAATGGGGAAAAGAGTTAGCCACAGAGTCTTGGGAATCTTTAATCGCTTTTCGAACAGCGATCGAAGGGGAAAGGAGCATGGGAGACGAGGGAACGGATTGGTTCGTTTGTTTTTCTGTGAAGATGGGGAAACCGGGAGGTTGGAGAGAGAGACGTACGTTCATGAACTCCTTGACCTGGCGCTTCTGAAGTCTCTGCTGAAGCTGGGCCTCCTCGGTCTTGGTAAGGCTGGTAATATAGAATTGCGCGTTAGTCGCTGTGTCGGGTCTCTGTTTTCCTCTGGGGCTTTCTTGGGATCATTTTGAAGGGGTGAGCTTACGCGTCCATTTTGGGATGTGGTTGATTGTGATGAACTCGTGAAGTTGACGGGGTGTACGTGAGGCCGGTTGGTTCGTGATGGAAGTTGTGGTTGATTCCGGGGCGATGACGATGGTTGAAATTTCTTTGGTTAAAGCACTTCCTCAGCAGAGCAGCGCTGCGCAGAACGAGATAGCAGGCAAGCTTGCCTTCCCCCGGTCAGCGCCGGCCAATCAGACCTGTAGAAGTTCGGCAGTGCTGGAGCTCCGATAACGATAAGGCCGTATCGGGATCGCGGTAGCTTCACCTCGGATAGATGCATGGGCTTCAATGTGAGTTCCGTTGCGCGAGAGTCACTGCCTTTATCTGGGAGGCTCTGCTCTATTTCGAATGCCGAGCCATTATCCATTCTCATGCAGGACTGGGAACGGGGTAATCCCCTCTTCGAATCGGTGTGTCTTCGATCTCGGCAAGCAATCCTTAAAGACCAACCTCAATCTGAGATTCTCGAAATATCATGTTTGTTCATTTCCCCAAAGACATAGCATACACCTTGGTCGAGGAATTGGTCCCAATTGCATGAAGAAAGTTTTGAATATTGTGTTTAAATTATCCTGACGCGGACAAAACCCGCGTCGCCCTATATCCAATCCCGAGGCGACCGAGTCCAATGACATCGCACCCGGGTATCAAGCCTATATACATAGGTTCAGAAGAAGAGAAGACATTACCATTTCACATCGAGTCTGCCGGGTATCCAAAGTTTAAAAAAAAAGGCCGGGCCGCATATAACCATGCGGCCCGGCAGCCGAAAGCCATAAAGGGGGGCGCACTCGGAGAGGCCACAACAGGAACCAAACCCCCCTTACATGACGATACAGCAAGCCTTCTCCAGCTTCTTGAGAATCTTGACGACCAAGTCGCCAGTCTCGTCCTGCTCCTGCTGCTGGTTCTGGCCGCCGTGGTGCTGCTGTTGTCCACCGTGGGTCTGGCCGCCGTGCTGCTGGTTCTGACCGCCATGGTGCTGTTGCTGACCACCATGATGCTGCTGCTGGCCGCCTCCGTGGTGCTGCTGTCCACCACCACCACCAATGTGAGGCGGCGGCGGCATCGTCGCATCCCCGCCCTGGAGGTTGATGTAGATCCGGCCAGCGTTCTCCTCGGTCGAGTACTTGAGCCCCATCTCGCGGCAAATTGCCTCGATCCTCGGCTTCAGCTTCTGCACGTGGCCCGTTGAGTGGTTCCCCTTGCCGACGATGGCGTGCAAGTGTTCCTGGCCCCGCGCCCGGTCGGCGCGGATGCGCTCCTCGAGGATACGCTCCGCCTCCTCGACATACTGCCCGTGCAGGTCGACGCAGCTGCCCGTCACGCGGCCGGCGGCGTTGTTCTCCCGGAAGATGAACTCGGACGCCTGGCGGTTGTAGTCCTCCATCTTTTGCGCGTGGCGCTTGCCCTCGTTGGAGAGCTCCTTGGCGGCCGCGCCATCACCCGACTGGTAGGCTTGTTGAGACTGGAGAGCATCGAGGGTTGGTGTTAGTTTTGCGGCATCACACAGAACTCAAAACCACGTGTTTTGAACAAGGCTTCGGTTCGGTTGGTGTTGAGGCTACTTACGCGCTCAAAGGCCTGGTTGCGCTTGTTGGCTTCCTCGCGGGCTAGGTCGCGAAGGCGATCGTACTCGCGCTCCGTATCGTCGTCGTCGTTGTCGGCGTGGCTAAAGGCTGCAACGGTTATGCTCGTGTCAGCGCGCGTACGGTCCTCAGATGTCGAGCCATCTCGAGCAGCATTGTCTTTATCCGTGTCTGTTTGTGGCGGTCTCGGATTTCAAGCCATGGCTCCAGGAGGATTCGAAAACGAAACATGGCGAAGATGCTTACCGCGGCCGCCCAGGCGGTTCATAGGGATAGACATTTTTGCCCGTTTGCGCGCTCAATTGGCTTCACGACGCTGTCCGTGGTGGAATTGGCAGAGGAATGAAGAAGTATAATGCGGCTGCGAGCAAAACAAGCTTCAAGTTCGCGTCCAAGAAGCGGGCAGAGAGGTTGGTAGGACGGCGCTAAGCAAGCTTGTTTTTCGGTGCCGGCAACGTAATAGCGGGGCTCTGCTCCGGCCGATGACGCTTGTGCTAGCCGGTCCGGCTTCCGTCTCTGGCTGCCCGGTGCAGTACAGTTCAGCCATACGACCGGTTCCATGATGGGTGAACCCATTCGCCCCATCTTGGTCTATCAGTCTAGGTTCCATTCCTATGCACTGTGGCTGTGTCTTCTGTGTCCAGGACTCTAGGGACGCACAAGCTTGCCTCAAGTAACTTGTGTGATCTACAGGGGCAGAAGCCATGCTTGGACATCGTTCCAACTCGTCAGGCGGCTGAGAACGCCACAGGCATTGCTTCGACCCGTACTCTGGTTTGGTGGCGCTTTACAGTATGTTCCGCGGTTTCTGTATGTCTCTCCAAGGTAAAATAATATCCTTCGTCTCCCAATTGTCCTAATTCAAATCATCCACATAGCAGAGCCATCTAGAGCACACAGCGGAGAGGCTTCGTTCCACAGCTTTTCGGATCCACGAGGATCTAGTCCCGCCCGAAACAAAACTCGAACAGCCGGAGTGAAGGACGATACCCACGGTGGCCAACGAAGGAGCGCTGGAGTCATGGATTGGACGCCAGCTCGTCTGTATGATGTGCCAGATGGTGGTTACACAAGAGGCAGGCTCAGGGGCGGAAAGCTTCTGTGGGCCCTTCTAGAACACCACGTTCTCTTTTTTCTTCTTCGTTTTTCTCCTTTCCAGATACCTCAGCATCTAATACTCCATAACAGGAGAAACCCAATCGTCAGTACCAAAGGTCAAAGCACCCGCCGTCCGAACTAGCCGACCAAAGTCCAGATGGAATAATGACGATTTTCCGAGAATGGTAACCTTCACTAGGGGAGTCTTCAGGGGAACAGCAGATGATCGTAAGAGGGTGCCACTCATTACTACAACGACCTTGCAGAGCACCATCTTCGTACCTGCATGACATGCAAGCGGACGACACGCAGGGAACGCTCCATCTGCCAACTTTTAGGGCGTGTTCACCAACTGTGCCCACTACTATTCGTCCACTAATGAAGTTGCACTGGGTCGGCGGGCGGCAGAGGCAAATGGGCAAGACGACCTTGACGACGAAGACGGTGTGAGTGGATGGGACCGGGTCTTGGAAACGAAGAGAGCCTCCACAATTATGGGCCCTCTTCAATTAAAAAGAGCCCTCTCGTGATCCCGCGTGGAACGACTTTTTGCAACTCCACAGATTTGCCTCTTCAGGCATGCGATGACTATGAGGCCCCCAGCCTCTGCCAATGGCTTGGATGGATCCCGCTTTGCTTTGAGGAAAAGGCAGCTCGTCTGCCATGTGGCCTCCCTGTACCAGGCGGGAATAGTTTCTCTGGTAGTTTCCGACCAGCTGCCTGCAATGCATCTAGTGAATGTGCGAAATTACCTTATTTCGGATGCGAGATGTCTAGGTACGCCAGCTTGTCAAATGCTTCTATTGGCTCCCCTTTGATAGCCGCTTTAGACGGCGTTCTCGTCAAAGTCTTTTGGACGGCGGCTGCTAAAGCCTTAGTTTGCAGAAGCCGACGTGGATATTCTAGCTTGTCGATCTGGAGCTGTTTTCCCCCCAGCACACTGTAGGGAATCTCGCCTTTGAGACGTGCCATCGAGTAAGGAGTGAGACCTGAGAGGCAAGAAGTCTGGACTCCGAATTGCAACAAATGAGGGGCCAAAGCAAGGTCTATCCATTGCATGAAATACTGAGAATCCACTTCAGACCGCATTTTCGACAGTGAGGATAGTGTTACCCGGTACGGATACCGCAAGGTTGGGGCACATTCTCGATAGCCCCGTTGTGCCCCCCAGGAAACCGTCCAAATTTTGGTGATGATCGACAAGTCCAAACAGGTTCGGGAAGTGCACGCCTGCAGGTCAGCGGAATGGAACCCCGAGATCACTGTCCGATCTTTCTGTGCCTGTCTCGAGGGGGCTTCGACCGCCATCGTATTATCGTAACGCAGATGAGATTCGTAACGGGCAGACTGTGTTAATGTGCACAGTCACCGGCAAGGGTGGGTGATATTCGCCCTTGCATGGTCGGCTAATATGGCTTGGTGTTTCAAGGCAGCTGAAATGGTGGGGTCTAACCGTCCCAAACTCCAGGCTTTGGCTCTTATTGCACTGAGCACTGGGTTGAGAGATATCTACCGTCTCCGATGTGTCAACGCGTACGTTGACTCTGACGTGAAAGACGTGATAATCTGTGCGTCCTGTAAGGGTTTAGACGTAATGACGAAGCGCCGAATGCTCTGGGCTTCAGACGGTTCTCCCCGGTGATTCCGCGAAGTGGATGCCGCTTCTGGTCTGTTTGTTCTGTTGTTTGCTTTCCAGAGAAGTAAGTTTCCATGTTTTAACTCGGCCGACTGAAAGGGTGGCTCCGGTAGTATCGCAAGTCGGAGCGTCCATCTCAATACCGTGACTTGCGGTTAATGTGGTGCTTAGCTCTCGATACATGATCATGGTCGTGTGGCGCAATTGTTGGCTGGCTGCAATGATTGCCCTCCAAGTACCATTTCCAAGATCTAAGCCATCGAGGCGCTCTGGCAGCCAATCAAGGCAACAGAACCGAGTCAGTATGAACGATGTCTCTCTTTGAGCTTCACAGCTTCGTCTATTGCCGACCAGCTTGGGCCGGTGGCTTTCTTAGTGCGAAGTCTGCCTTGATCGATGCTCAGACACGGCCGAGCGATTCTTTGTACAGACATCGAGGTCGACTTTTCGGGTTTATAAAAGCCGTGCGTCAATCGAGCCCTAGGTACCGGAACAGACTATCACGTTCCGACGCAGATCTTGTAGAGTGGCAGGATCTTGTTAGTACTAGTCTTTGATCCGCCGATGGTACCATGTGCAAGCAGAATCGTGTGTAGCGGTAGCTAGCACTGCAGCTTGAAGTCATATGCAGGTGAATCACCTCGGCGGCAGCTTGCAGCTTGCAGCAAAGTAGCAAGCGGCTGAGGGCAGACGCGAAGGAATAAGTGGCCTGGTAAAAAGCAAACATCTCGGACTGAGTCGGGGGCCCAAAGATGTTGGAAACTCGGAAAGAGTTGAATGACGACTTGGCGCAACAATGCTGTTGTTGTCGACTAGTTCGTTGATGATAGGTTTGAGTAGAGGGTAAGTCGACAGAGAATCTTGTCTTCACGAGATGACAGCTCCTAATGTGAGCCGACTAGAATATTATTCAGATACTCAAGATCCAGACTGGGTTTTCGAACAGTTGATCGAGGCGTTGGACGCCACTACCCCTGATGATCGGATCTGTATGTGTCTGAGTACGGTTTGCTTGCCCTTTCCCCATTGTGTTTGCTTCTTACTTCTGGAGACTTTGCGCCACGCCCACACAAGAGAATTGCTGAGTGAGACGATATTCAAGCAAACACAGAGGCCATGGCAAGCAAGCTGATATTTTGATCATCTCGCTCTTTGATCGGAAGAATATTTTAATGTGTCCTAGATGACGATCTTGTTGAGGGAAATGGCCAAGACTGTCCAATTATCGATAGACAGCGGGTGGTATGCCGTATACAAGAGGTGGAGCGGCCAAACATTGTAAGTGGATGCAGGGGTGGACAGGGAGACGGGATCTCTCGCGATAGTCTGATATCAGGGCATTCCGAGATTCCGCTGCCTGTCCTAATAAGCGCAAGGACGATTTCAAGACGAGGCTGCGCATCTGGTTTCCCGAGTCTGAAGTTAATATCGTTGACTCCGTATGCGGTGGCAGGGACGCTTGCACGAGCCTGGAATGGTGATGAGGAGAGTAGCCGCCATGGCCGTGGGACCGTAGCTCCGATGCGGCCCCGGTTCTTCCTGATGGATGAAAGAGAACTAGAGCAATGGACCGGCCCATTGGCGTCTGGCTCTTTTTTGAGTTGGCAGCATGAGTTCCCACTTTGGAGTAGAAGAGAAAGGGAACGCTACTTGTCTTCATGCAGTTTAGACCTTCTTTGAGAGAAAGCTGCCTTTGAGAATGCGGGTTCTTTGTCCCACCTCGAAATCCGTGGTCTGTCTTCTGAAGCAAGCTCGAGGCAGTGCAGATTGTAGAAGCGTTTTCGGGCGAATCAAAAGGTGACGGCCGAGTGTATGGGGAGTTTGGATCTTTTGCTTGTTTGTCTGGTAAGTGTGCAATGCAGTTTGGCGTCCAAATAATTAACACCCAGATCCAGATCTGTACATGCCAACGAGTGTGTAGGGTAAAAGCCAGGTAAGTACCCGTACTCCAGAAATTGGTGGTCACCGTAATTGTAAACGAGGCCGTGGTGGTAGGTAGATCTTGTGGAGGAACTGAAGGTGTGGGTAGGACCATGCCCACGGCAACAGCTTCATTCACCCGTTTACCCTAGGGAGGCGGCTGACGAGGACAGTAGTGTTTCAAGAATTGCAATGGAAGTTTTGATGGAAGGACGTTGCTCAAATTCCAATGTTCCATAACCCATCCATGTTGGGCAGGTTATGGATGGGTGGATCTCTCGTCCGCGGCGGATGGTCTGGCGTTGCCTGCAGCTGCAGGCTCTGGTGCAGATGGTTGCGAAAAAGGAAGCGTGCAGATTTTCTTCTTCTTGGTTGGGACTGAATCTGAACTGAGCCCGCCCGCGGTCCCCCCTCCCCGACCGACTCCCGAGTCCTCCACATCCTCATATACTACTGCCGGTCGGCAGAGGATGGGTTGTTGTTCCACGCTTACGGAGAACACAGATCGCACCCGTAGGATTCATCGCGATGTTGTCTGGCCGCGGTAGACCGTGAACCGTCAATCTGCCAAATGGACGTCAGCTCAAGATAATATGTCAAAGTTCCGGTTCGTATTGGCATTGGCTCGTGCTTCTCACCTAATTATTGTTCCTAGACCAGTCACCAAGGTGGCTTGATCCATATTAACTACCACACAGCAACAGATTGTATCCGTAGCAGTAGTCTACGGATAGAAGAGACATGGAGTCCCATTGCAGTTAGCTAATTCGTACCCGGCCGAAGGAAAAGCTCACACAGGGCCTAGAGAGGCCATCTCCGTGCCTGGTCTGTGGTCAGTGGTAGCGCGAGGAAATTTTACATTAGTCAGGGCGGCGAACAAGGACTTTTCAGGCCAGTCAGGCCAGACAAACCAGTGCGAGACCCCTTTCCCCTGTTCTTTTCCCGCCCAGGGACGCCAGGGACTCCAGGGGACTTCGGCTTCGTTGCGGGCAACGTCTGGCTGGATGAGACCTCGCCGAGCTCCTCTCCACTGGCTATTGGCCCGGCCGCGGTGATTTCGACGTTGCAAAGGCCTGGGTGCGGATCCACGCCCGCTGGAAGACACTCCTGGTCATGGTCTCCATCCAGGTCTAGCAGGTTGTCGTCGATTGGTCGGCGAGGTCTTCACCAGGCTGGTTGTGTGTTTCTGACACTTGCACAGGAGCAGAGCAAAGGTCGGTACGGAGTGTGCGACTGCGTAGGCGCGTAAGGACTAGGTAGGTAGCGGACGGTACAAAGCATCCATCTCATCGGCTTCCCGATCTGCGGTGCCTCTAACCGCATCTCTCAGTGTCAGCTCGGGGCGAGAAGACGGCGCTGAACATCGACGTTAGCTTAGCTCAGGAAAGGCAGAGACAGGCGATGACAGGACAACCTAAGACAATAGCGACCGGGGAGGCCAGAGGAGAAACTGGGGCTAAATGCATCAAGAAGTACGTACATGCCCTTATGTAAGGTAGGACAATATCTCACATAAAGCAGGTACCGGTGGATACGTACCGGACCGCACCAGAGGCAGCTTAGCACCAAAATCAAGGCCAGCACATGTACCTTGTCCGTGCTTCTGGAACTCCCAGCCCCTGTTGGCCCCTGCACTAAAGCCAGAGGGACGCGCCGTACGGATAGGTACCTATTGGAAGGTAGCTGGATATTCGCGTCCGGACCACTGCCCACACCGTACCTGCCCATGCTCGCTACCTTGGTCACTGCCAGTAAGCTTGTCATATGTAAGGCAATTGAAAGCCATGAGAACGATTGGGCTTCCACATATGATACATGAATTGCAAATGGCTGAGGGGAGTGCGAGCTGGTGATGAGCTCAAGTCAAGTGAGCCCCAGTAAGTTTGAGGTATGAAGTAAGGTGAGTTGAGGTGCGTTGGCGCGCACTGGCCACAGGGAGGAGCCTCCAGAGTCCAGCGTCCCCCACCAAGCTGCTTCAGTGTCGAGGACGCCCGGCGATGGCCCCCAAAAAGCCCCTAGTCTCGCTGCCAACTCCTTCATCACGGCCAGGTACAGCCAGTCAGGGCTGTCAATCTGAAGTCCAAAAGAACGGGATGCCTCCCATCGGTACCTACTGCGTATGCGTAGGTAGACACCAGCCTGGAAGGAAACCCCGTGGACAGGTCTGGCACCACTGGTGCCACTGGTTCCCTCCTTCCCCCGTGCGGCATGCCCCCCCTTCCTCATTGTTCACCAACTTGGAAAGACCGCCAATTCGCCATTTCCTCGTCTCCGCCGTGCCTCCTTCCCTGTTGTTCACACAGTATACTTTCATCCCCGTACCTCGCCCCGAAGCGCATTGTCCGCCCCGACGACGACTGCCGCCCACTCTTTTTCTCCCACTATCCTCTGGTTCCTCGCAGCACCGTCGCCGCCATCCTTGCTCATAACTCTTCCACCCTTGCCCTTTCCCATCTCTCCTCTCCACATTAGAGGCACCTCCCAACCCATTCCTCTCTTTTCTCTCTCCCTCTCCTGCTCCTGGTCTTCCAATCCTGCCGCGACCATCCCATCCTCCCACCGTCCGCCCAACGGCTCGTGTTTTCTTTTCCTGTTTGCTGCGTTTTTCGACTCATTGTCAATTGAGTGATTCCATCGTCAATTCAAAGACCAAGAGGTGAGTTTCAGTCAACTTTTCCTACCGCATGCAGTCGAGAGAGAGAGACACACACACGCACCACGAAACCTCCAACTTGCCGACGCCGACATCGAGCCACTGGAAATTGAGAAGGCGAAACGAACGAGACACAAAAGAGACAGCATAGAAAGGAGAAACACCTCCACCTGCCCGCTCGCTCGATGCTAGCATCGTCCCTCGACCTTTCGACTCTTCGTCTCTTATCCGCCATCGCCTGGATCAACTTCGCATTCCAACCCGTCGCCCCCAAACAATTCGACCCGTCTCTCTCGTTTGCCCGACGGCATCACACCCACCTGCGACGTGGTTGGCTAACAAGCTTTACTTCTTTCAGGTCTCATCCAACGCGCAACGCCCGATTCTTTACTGAATCCCCAATTCCCATTAATCCCATCAATTTTATTCTATCAGTCGTCGTTTCCAACGACACCTAGCCGCCAAAATGGGTTGCGGAATGAGCACGGAGGACAAAGAGGGCAAGGCCCGCAATGAGGAGATCGAGAACCAGCTGAAGAGGGACAAGATGATGCAGCGCAACGAGATCAAGATGCTTCTTCTGGGTAAGTCAACATCTGCCCGCGCTGCATGTCCTTGGCGCGCCTTGCTCAGTGCCATCCGACGACGTTCAATCATCGCATCGCTGCACAATGATTCTCTAACAGTTCCATAGGTGCTGGTGAATCCGGAAAGTCAACAATTCTGAAACAGATGAAGCTGATTCACGAGGGCGGCTACTCACGCGATGAACGGGAATCCTTCAAGGAGATCATCTTTAGCAACACGGTGCAATCCATGCGTGTCATCCTCGAGGCCATGGAGTCCTTGGAGCTGCCTCTTGAGGACCAGCGCATGGAGTACCACGTCCAAACCATCTTCATGCAGCCCGCCCAGATCGAGGGTGACGTTCTCCCTCCTGAAGTCGGAAGCGCGATTGAGGCGTTGTGGAAGGACCGAGGTGTGCAAGAGTGCTTCAAGCGCTCTCGCGAATACCAGCTCAACGATTCGGCAAGATAGTGAGTGACTGCTCCACGAGTGGGAAATTGCCATGTGCGCTAACACGTCCCAGCTATTTCGACAATATCGCGCGCATCGCCGCTCCCGACTACATGCCCAACGACCAGGATGTCCTCCGATCGCGTGTCAAGACAACGGGTATCACGGAAACCACATTCATCATTGGAGACCTGACCTACAGAATGTTCGATGTCGGTGGTCAACGATCTGAGCGAAAGAAGTGGATTCACTGCTTCGAGAACGTCACTACCATTCTCTTCCTGGTCGCCATTTCCGAGTACGACCAGCTGCTATTCGAGGACGAGACTGTCAACCGTATGCAGGAGGCTCTGACCCTCTTCGACTCCATCTGCAACTCAAGATGGTTCATCAAGACGTCTATCATCCTCTTCCTGAACAAGATCGATCGTTTCAAGGAGAAGCTCCCCGTCAGCCCGATGAAGAACTACTTCCCCGATTACGAGGGTGGAGATGACTATGCTGCTGCGTGCGACTACATTCTCAACCGATTCGTCAGCTTGAACCAGCATGAGACTAAGCAAATCTACACGCACTTCACCTGCGCGACAGACACAACTCAGATCCGCTTCGTCATGGCGGCAGTGAATGGTATGTCTAACGTTCACCACACTGGGTGAGACAAGGCGCACAAAGAAACACAGGCTAACTTTTTGACTAGACATTATCATTCAAGAGAACCTGCGGTTGTGCGGTCTGATTTGAACACCAAAAACGTTTGCTTTTTCTACAATACCCTTTACTTCTAATTGCATGACCCAAGCCAGAAAGCGTCGTGGGGAGGCTGGCTCATGAAATTAACTTTCTTCCCGACGATGAGACGGCAACCCGACGGTTTCCCAAGATTCCCTTGATTACGCGACTGTATTTTTCTTCCTACCTCTCGGCTATCCCCCCGTATATTGCCTCGCGAATCAGGCGGTATACGTTTTTGGTTGTGCTCTTGTTGGCCCGCGTTCAGGAATAAGAGGGGAATGGTGGGAGGTAGTTCTGTACCAAACATGATGTCTCGACCAGTAGACGGGCTCGCCGCGGAAGACGGAATCCCACTGCGGGCGGGTAGCGGCAGTGGAAAAGTGAGATGGGGGCAGGAGGGGGACGAGAGAGATGGAAGGATGGCCCCCATGGATGGATAGCAAGAGGAAAAGAAGCAATGAACTTGAATGCATTTGAGAGAGCCTGATGGATGGAAGGTGGCTAAATATTCTGTTTAATGACGAAAATCTCCTTAATCTCGTGCCATCGTGACATGATGCGTTGCCAACTAACCATTCCTCGAGGGCTCCTTATGCATCTGATGATGTGAACCCGCGATGGGAAGGCCTATCGGCTGTTGTCTACAATGCATGTCCAGGAGCGTTGAGATCTTGTGATACATGGCGTCCTGCGATTGCAGCTAGTCTGCTAGACATGATCACCTTCAACATCCAACAGAATCCCATTGTGAAGATCGCCATCTGCCGCCACGCAGTGGGCCAAGATAGGTAGGTAGCTTGGGACGGAAGGTTGGTCGAGGCCCGGCGCCACATCCAGGACCGGCGTCGTCGTGCCCGCCTCCGTTCTCCGCATTGCGCCGTTTGCGGTCTTTGCAAGGCGACTGCCGCTTCCGTCCATGGGATATGTTTCCCGTAATGCACGTAAGGGGACATGCTTGACCATACCTGCCCCTCCCGGACAAAGTGTAGCGTAGCTCGGTATTATGAGCTTGGTTGAAGGTCTTCGTCTTCGTCATCAACTGCGAGTGCTCGGCACCTACCTAGCAATCACCACACCATCTTTTTATTTCTTGAAATTCAGTTTAAGGCCGCAAGGGGTCCTTTGCTCTACTTTTCTTAATGCCGCCGCGCGCCGCCTCCTCGTCTTCGCCATCCGCCCCATCTGTCCGCTTTTCTTTGGTCTGGAATTTTGAGTTCCATTACGAGGGTGGGCGGCGGCGAGGAAAAGGTAAATGGGAAAGGGACGAGGGACTTTGGAGAGGGCCGCGTGTGGCCCCCGGTATGCGGAGAGGTCTAAAGGACCGCACATACACGCATACATTTCAGTAGGTACTGCAGTAAGGAGATATAGTTCAAGACTTTGACGACACATTTTGGGATGGGACGGGACGGGAGGCGCGGTTGTCGGTTGTGTTTGGGTGTGGAAGCAAGCGATGGTGGCGCGAGCTTGCTCTGGGAGGCGGCGTTACCTATTGCCATTCACTTAGGCCTTTGCCACTCGGGACGGGAGGGAAAGGGGGGGAGGGGGGAGGATAGGTACGTTCGTAAGGTAAGTGAATTGAAGCTTGGCACGTATAGGTATCGCGAAGTGCAAACGCAGGTGAAGGGGGGATGAATCGATGGTGAAGAAGCCGTTGGAGTGATCGTCGACAAGGATGGCAGGTCCTTGGGCAGAAAGTGCTTTTTACATGGACAGGCGGAGGGCTAAGCTCATGGGGCGGCGGGTGTTGCGTTGCCCGCTGCCGCTGCCCCCGAACTTGCACATTACACAAAGACGGATTGCCTCAAGTATAGACAGTGATGTTTGGTGGCATGTAGTGTTGGTGATGCTGGAGGTGGGATCCGGTGCCGGGGTCGGAATGGGGGCTTCTTTCTTTCGTGATATTGGGTAAGGATCATGTCCTTTCATCCCGTCTGAAGAACGATGCTGTTGCTCACCATCCCCCCCCCCCCCCGATTCTCAAACACGTCGCAGGATTGGTATGCCCTGCCCGCAGCAGCCCCTCCTTCCCTTCTTCAGACCAACGAGTTATATGAGTTGTGATATGTTTAATACGCAGTCGTTATATTGGCCAGTTTTTGCAACGTGACCTTGTTCGATGGCAGGAATACCTTCTCCAACGTGGACCGGATTCGAGTACTCCGTTAAAGGGCCCCTTTCATTTCCAATGACCAAACGGCGGAGCAAATGGGAAACTTGGACGGGTGAATGGTGGGGTTTGTTATGCTTTTGCTTCGCCTCATAAAGTCGGGGTATTCGGCACGATGCGATCTCGCTCCTTACAACATCTCCGTAACACACGTGTACTCGTTTTGGAGGCTTCAGATTAGACGAGAAGGGTGGTCACGAAGAAGACAGAGAGAACTGAGATAAAGTTGGGGTTTGTGTGGAGTGGCGGCGTGACGTTTCATCCAGATTGCGTTTGCTGTTCTTGTTTTTTTGCCCAAATTCAAACGTACACTAATTACACTTACACAGTATGGTAGGGCTCTCTTTCGCAATCGCCTCTGCCCACCGACTGCGGAAGGGATCGCGCTTTGAACATTTTTCCACGGACGCCGCCCACGTCCTCCCGGGAATAGAGAAAATGTCTATTTTGCTGTAGACCATCACGGGTGGGGTGGAGTAGGCAGATCAGAGTTCACCTTGACCGTTGAGAAGGGGGGAGGGGGAGGGGGCTAATTTGGCAGCTGGTGTGTGTCTGTGTGTAAAAAAGCTTTCAATCGGCGGCCGTCGAATTCGGGTTCCCAAGTTTTGTGTGAGTTGACTTGGGATCGCTTGTGAACTATATATGGGTTTCCCTCTTTCGTTCTTGGGATGAAGATTGATCAAGTACATGCTAGTGCGTAACTTGTGTACCTTATGAGAGAGAGCACGGTTGGAATAAGTCAGCAGAGGGGGCATGAATCCCTCTTGCCTTCCCCGAGCGAAGCCGGAACCGACGAGTTGATTGGGCAGATAGTTTGGGCTGATGAGACATGCAGAGAAAGAAGCTGAGAATATTGTACTCGCTGAAGGTAGGTCACTCGGCGAGATGTTGTCACACGAGAGATTCAGCAGCGGGAGGGCGCATGCTACGCTGTCAGGCATCTGCAGGCTGTATAGTGGCTGTCCGCCCCTCACCCTATAACAATCATACCCATACCAGGTATATGAGCATCTCAGCGTAGTGTAAGGCGGACTGTTGCAACAGATGATGGATGGGTGGCCTCACATTGAACGTCAGACGATTTGTCAGGCTAGGGGATGGAGACGGCGGGTTAGGTGAAATGGCGTAGCAGCAACGGAGAGAAAAAGGCAAATCTGCTGGATCTTTCCCAAACTAGAGGATATATGACAAGACGGAATATAGATGGGAAGGGCACAAGGGATGTGTTTTCGCTTCCCGTGACGGGACCATGGTGCGGCAGGATCGTTTGTACAGCCCCGGCTGCGTGACAGCAGTAGAGACATCCTAGTCCCTGAAGAGACGGACTTGTGATCAATATCATAGCCTATAGGTTTGGGAACGGAGTGTAGCCGGTATGAGATGCTGTACTGTGTAAGCCAAGAAGTCAGGTGTGAGCAAGTGAGAGCGAATGAGACAATATATTCGGATATCCGCTTGCACGTCTGAGATCCGCTGGTTTGCAGTGTGTGAACTCCAAACTGGTTTAGTAAAGTTTCACCTATGCGTGTTTTGACAAGCTCTTGGTATCAATCTATCTCCGTTTGCATACGACCATTAACGACTTAATCCAAGTACCTGTGAGCCAGCCCCTTCTTAGAACACAACTGTGTGCTCGAGGTCTAGCCAGCCTCCAGCCTACGTTTGTCCTCCGATGTCCGCTATTGTCCTTTGTCGTCTGTGTTGTCCATCCTGTATTTCTGGCCGCATGGCTACTCTGGTTTCTTTGAGCAGGGTATATCCCAAATCCTTCTAGCGTCCTGTTTCGTCGTGACGTTGTCGTGTTCCTGTCCAAGTCCATGTGTTCGCATACGGGACGGGGCTTGACGATGCAAGCGCCAAGGGGACTTAAAGGAAGGACAATGATGAGCGAGTAAGTCGAACACCTGACTTCAGCCTGCTCCCAAATGTAAAGTGGTACGATGACGCCGAAGAAGCTGTGGCCATACGTCGTGATAGTTGCTGCCCAACTGCCAAGGCGCAGGGTCGGCGACTCGGGCACCTCATCTTGGCAATTCCGAAGAAAATTCGTTGATCTAAAGACGCCTTGCAGTCCCGATGATCGAATTCATCTCGTCTTTTATACTTCGGTACTCGGAGATATAAGCAAAAAGCATGAAGGGTAAGAAAGGTGGACAGAGCCTGTCTCTCTCTCACGCTCCGTTGTCCCCCTCCCCCATCGCCGCCTCCGGAACGGAGCCCTCTGGGTCGGGATGCTGACTCGGATCGTGACCCCCCTGCTGAGCAAGAAACTCGGCGTACTCGGCGCTAGCCAATGCTAGCTGCCGCGCCGCCGTTTCGATCCGGAGCTGGAATCGAACGTGGGGGTTATCGCTCCGTGCCTCCGTCATGGCTCTGTCCAACACATCTTTCACGAAATGGGCGATGGTCGGATCGGCGCCTGGCTGTCCGAAGCTGGGTCCTGCGGGGGCCATGCCGGGAGCCATCGGCGCTGTGCCGGCAAAGCTTGTATTCGCCGACACCTGTGGCACAGGTTGCAGCTGTATGGCTGGCATGTGCTGAGGGAGGTTGTTCTCTGTGTGGCCAAGTGTGTTAGTCACCCAACACCTTGACATCTGGTCGAGCTTATGGGCCATTTTTTGCTTACCATGGAAAGAACAGCGTGAGCCGCTCGCGTTGAACCAGCAGTTGGCGCAGCTACCACACATTTGGCCACTGACGACCACACATCCATTCCAGGGTCCATATCCTTTATGGCAACTCTTGCAGGGACTATGAGCTTCCTGTCCCGATACGTGGGCCAGTAGGGCCTCGACATTGCTTCTTCTCTTGAGGTTCAGAGTTTGATCCTGGCGGCGCTGTACGGCGAGTCGCTCTCCTTCGTTGTTGGCCAGTCTCTTGGCGAGAGCACTGTCGATGAGTAGCTGGCCGTACCCACTCTCGGAGGCGAGGTCTTCAGCCGTCCTCGACATGCCGCCAGGACCATGCCCACCCATCTGGGCTTCCATGGCGAACTGGGCCGGCAGGCCGTGTAGGTCGGGATGGATATCGGGGTCAGCGCCGGGTACTGTGCCAGAGGGACCGTTGGCTAGGATGCCTGCGGTGGCTAGATCAAAAGGGTGCGGGTGGTGTTGCTGCTGGTGATGATGTTGGTGATGTTGGGGAGGGGCGGTTATCTCGTCGTCATCTTCGTGTTCGGCCTCGGCCTCCGCATCGTGGGCGAGCTGCTCGAGCTGGTCGGCAGCCACGGAGGAGTGTCGGCTGGCGCGGCCGTGGGCGTCCCTCTTGAGGCCGGCTGTAGGCTTCGTCACCTTGTTTGGGCGGCCTCGAGGAGGTGGTCGGCTTCCGCCTCGGGCACTCATGGGGTAATCGAAGAGGACGCTGCCTCTTTTGCGATGGTGGACGGTGAGGGAGCTCTAGCTAGTCGGCGATGATAAGTGGCGTTGAGAGTGGGCAGCTGGTGTCAGCTGCAGAAAGTGTGTGATGAGGAGTTTGGGGGCCTCGAAAGAGCTGGTGTTGATTGAGCGGGAAGAAGCTGCTGATTGCTGTTCGGTCCCACTCACAACTTGGGTACTTGGTGCAGTTGGGAGTGGGAGCTCGGGCCAGAAGTTCTCCGCCAAAGCTTTCCCGAGTGTTATGTAATCGATATCAAGAAGCCTGGAAGTGAGAGCACAAGGTACAATAAGTAAAAAGGTGTCATGTCACCAATCACGTCACTACCTCAACCTCACCTTGATAATTACGACTTTCATGTGACAGTAGACCTTCTCATGTCAAAGACTGGAGATGCAGGCACGTGGCAGGGCAAATGGTCTTTCGCTACCTATACTGCTTTGGCAATGCTGGTTTCTTGTATCACGTCTATCTCATACGCCTGCCTACCTTAGCTGAGCCAAGACATCCCTTGGAACGTCAGGGAGAACCTTTCGAGCACCTAGGTTGGGTCAGGAAGCATGAGACATGCGCAAGGGGGAGAACATATCCTGGTCGTCTATAAACCTTCAGTTTGAGGAAGCTCTTTTGAATTTTGACTTGGCCGTAGGCCGGATCACTCTAACCATAATCCTCCAGTCATTCACCTCGTTGCGATGAACCTCACGACTCAGCTGTGGGAGGATTCTCCCAGACATCGCCTCCACCCTCAGCCTCCGTCATCTCCTTCCACCTCTGAGCGAACTCCCTCAAGCCACCGTCGCCTGACATACTGGCCTCAACGACCTCCTTGGGAAGCTTATGCGCCGAGTACTGCGGTGTGCTGAAGTTGAAGGCGGCAGGGTTATCCTTCTCGACCAATCTCAATTCAGGCACCAATTCGTCAACATCCTCATCGTCTGTCGTTTCTTCAACGCCACTGCCATCAACAAGGTCTTCCTCGTTGACACCTGGGCCTATTCTAATAATCTCTTCTTCGTTGACAACTGAGCCTAGGATGGGTCCTGGAACCTTGAGCTCTAGCAATTCCACCCAGCTGTAGAGCAGGCTATCTGTCCGAGGCGCCCAGGGGTTGATATCGATAAGGCGCACCTTACCAAGCTCGTCGCGTGAGTCGCTGTCCCCGGGAACGTAAACGTCAAACGTGAATGAGCCGTCCGGGAAGGTGAAGCGCAGGCGGTCTTCGAAGAAGTCGGTGATCTTGGATACCAATGCGGGTCGTAAACCACCGAGGAAGGGGTAATAGTTCCAGTCACGCTGGCAAAGACCAATCAGAGTGCGATGTTTGACGAAGCACCGGAACTCGAGGGCCGGGTTTGGCGCAAAGAAGGGTCTCAGGACCAGGACCGGTTGGAAAGGCCTATTGGCGGAGGAGGGGACGGTGTCCTCAAAGGCGTGCTCCAGATCATGGCTAACGAAGCTAGAGCTCTTGAGCAGGAGGTAAATGTCGTTGGGCGTTGTGCATTTCAGCGTGTTCTGATGCGGCGAAATCCAAGCGGCATCTTTCGGTGCTGACCAGTTCAGCTTCGGCGCAACGGAACCGCCCAGCTCCTTGATCCTCTCCTTGATTTCTTGGTGGATTTCAGGGAATCGCTCATTGGGCGGCCGGCAGTCAGCTTCGGGTTCGTCGTCCGAGTCATCTTCTTCGAGATGTTGGTTTCGTCGTGGTGCGCCGGCTGTATTCGACGAAGCGGACCATTCCTCCTCTGCTTCGTCCTCTTGCGGCTCATCGTCGTCGGCGAGGATAATGCCGTCGTCACGGATGTATTGGACAAAGTCAGGCGATAGCTTGATGATCCTGGATCTGATCGACACAGTCCGGTACTTCGGGAACCAACTATCGTACGAACAGTTCAAAATATGCTCCTTTGTGACTGGCGGGAAAGTGAGTTCTTCGGTCTCTTGGGCAGTTGCATTGTTGATGGCGTCCAGGGTTGGCTGCCCCTCAGTGAGACCTTCGAGAGACGGCATCGTTGTGGATGAAGCCTGGCTTGACTAAAGTTTCTCGACGGCGAATTTAGAAATTTTGAAGTCGAGAATATGAGTGAGTCTGGATCCCGAGGTTCCGGCAAAAAGTTATGATGAAGTGAAATTTGCTGTGTTCCTCACTTACATCGATGAGTCTTCTCGCATTGAGTGAGTCTTCCCGTCGCCCAAAGCGGAAAAGTACCCCACCATCCCACCCGTCATAACTTTTCTGCCGGCCCCCCATCTCTCTATCCATTTTCACCGCCTTTCACGGCCCGACTGAACTTCGCCCTTAGTACCATTGCCAAGGGTCCAGTCTCGGTGACGTCTCTTGCAGATCCAAAGTACCGAGATACATCTTGATTTTACCGCCAACACCGACTCGAGAGATCAATATCAACAGCGCATTCATAACTTCCTCCCATTAGAATTGATATATACCACATAATCTCGATAGCCATGTCCGACAACGTCGGTCTCTCAACGCCCCGTGGCAGCGGTACTTCGGGCTATGTTCAGCGCAACCTTGCGCACATGCGCCCACGCGACTATGGCGCGCCCTATCCTCCCAAAGACGCCGACTCGCTCCGCCACAAGCAGCGACAGCCCGATAAAGAGATCTTAGAGCATGACCGCAAGCGCGAGGTTGAGGTCAAGGTCCTTGATCTACGCGACACCCTCGAAGACGAAGGGTAAGCTTATCACCTCTCCTCGTCCCACCCATGCGAGGATACTAACGGTGCCCTTAGCCTCGACGAGGAAGAAGTCGAAAAGCGATGCGACGAAATGCGAAAAAAACTACTGGCCGACCTCGAGAAACAAAAGAACAGCCGTGGCGGCGGCGGCGGCGGCCCCGTACGGAAGCACTTCAAAAGCCACCAGGTTCATGAGATGGCAGACGCCAAGATTAAAGAGAGCGAGAGACTCAGGAGTGCTTTGAGAATAAGCAAGGACTACGAGGAGGGAAGTCACTGGAGGAGACAAGAGGAGAGACTTCGGGGCTCTCTAGAGAAGGAGACCAAGAGGGAAGACGTCGACTAAAGCACCAACTACACAGTAGAGCTCTTGTTACGAGACATGGCGCCAGGATTTGGGCATGGAATAGTAGGGAATAGGCGTTCAGGCGTTTGCATTGGAGGGCGAGCAAATACAGACACGCTGCTCAAGCATTGCTTTTCAAGTAAACGGTACCAAGGACGATCTCATGGACTCGACAGCTGGGTCCGGATTCAAATTATTGTTGATACATGGGCGAAGATTTCTTCCGGCGTCTAGTAATACACAACTGGCATGCCGTTTTCAAATTTGTTATTTCTTCCCTGATGGCGGAACCCAAGCTTCTGGCTGCCAGCCCTCGCTTGGCCCACTGGCTTTCGCCCAAGGGTCCTTGCCATATTTCTTCTTCGCATCGGTCGCAGATTGAGCCTGATCCTCTGGCGATTCTGTCGCCTTTGCGTTTGTAGTGGCCGTTTCCAGCTCCGGCGCCGTGGGCTGTGACTGCGCAGTGTTCAAAGACGGCAGAGGTTGACTCGTCTGCCGACCTGGAGCATCGGTAAGCCTGGGCTTTGCCTCCCATTTCGCGTCGGCCTGCGCGGACAAAACTTTCATCCGCTCCTGTCTAAATGCCTCTCTTGTTTGTTCTTCGAGTGTCGGGGGGTCTTCTCGGGTGTAGCGCAGCCATTGATGCCACAACGGTGACACCTTCACGTCGGAGAGGTAGGTTGATCGGGGATAGTTGACAATGCGGCGGAAGCGGCCCGGGCCATTTCCCCGGGACTCGCGAAACTCCCAGAAGGTATAGCCCTGCAGGTCACGGCCTAGAACCGAGCGTGTTAGTTCTCCTCGGTCACTGATAATGGGGATCGATGGGCCGGGCACGGGGATGGGAACATGCCGACAAGGAAGCGTTTGCGCCATGGCAGTCTGAGCGACTTCCACTTGTACCACGCCTCCAAAATTGGTGATATTCGTGTCGAAGACATTTGCGCTGTTGGAATGGGTGGTTGGGAAAGAAGTATCTTCGATCAGGAACCTATGGCTTCTAGATGCGAAAGTCGCCCAGGCCTAGAAAAGTAATGAGGTCAACCTTGGATTGCACCGCCACTTGAAATTTGGCCGAGGAATGGCGTATCTTATCGTCAGCCACATATTTCCTCTGCAATTTAACCCGCGACTGAGCGTTCGCAGAATCAGAGTTGCATTGGCCCCGCCAGCCACCACCGCACACGTCACTCCGCAAGACCGCGGCGGTCCAGCCGGACCCTGGGTCCTGTCACCTTATCCAGGTTCCCGCTAGCGGCGCCTGGCTCTAGATGCATAAACAATTAAAACATCCCCACCACGACCGTTCTTCATCGGGCCTTCCAATCACCTCAACCTGCCACCCGACTGCCTTGATTCCCCCGCAAAACATTGACCTAACACTTGTTTTCACCTACAAAAAGAGTGAAGACACGCGACCGGGAAAACATCCATATCATCTGAAGCAAGACTCGCGCAACGCGCGCCGAACAACAGAAACTTGCATCCGTCACTTGAACTCCGTCATCGCCGGACCCCGCCGACGTCAGCGCCTAACCGCCGCCTTACTGAAACGCCCTCACGAAACCAACCTTGAAGCTCCCGAACCCGCAAGATTCGATTTGGTACAACGATAGGAAAGGCTCTTCCGATCAATCACCAGCCAACGACGCCATCATGGCCTCAGTATCGTCCTTGGACAAGGATTTGCGCAAATTGCGTCTCGACAAGTACACTCCGGCTGCTGCGAAAGAAGTAAGCAGTTGGATCGAAGGAGTCTTGGGTGAAAGACTACCAGCAGGCGACTTGCTGGAGGGACTGAAGGATGGTGTTGCACTCTGCAAGTGTGTGAATTAACATCTCCCATACCTACTAATGCTGACCCACACCTTAGATTGATCAACCTCGCGATACCACCACCAGGCGTTAAATTCAAGAAGTCGGCTATGCCATTCGTTCAGATGGAAAATATTTCTCACTTTCTGCGTGCCTGCAAACAACCTCCTCTTAACCTCCAAGACCACGATGTCTTCCTGACCGTCGACTTATTTGAGCAAAAAGACCCTGCCCAAGTATTACAATGCCTGGGTGCTTTCAGTCGAGCCGCCAACGCAGCAAACCCAGCCAAGTTTCCGACGGCAATCGGGAACCGGAGCCGGGGAGGAGTGATGAGCCCCCAAGGAACCGGCCGTGGAACCCCATCGCCGACGAGATCGCGCGGATTCTCCAATGCATCAGGCTTCGGCTCGCCTCGGCCTACTCTGACCAGCGCCAAGACTGGAGACTCCGGCTCGGGTCGCTGGAGCCCGACTAAGCCTACTTCCCCGGTTACCAGCTGGAGCAGAAAGGAACACGAAGGCGCCACATCTCCCGCTTGGAACATCGCTCAGTACGGCTACATGGGCGGTGCCAGCCAAGGAAACCTAGGAATCTCATTCGGCAGTCGGAGGCAGATCACAAGTGCTGGTCCTGCAGTACCCAGTTTGGCCGAGAAGGAGCGCATCCGAAAGGAGAAAGAACTTGAGGAGGAGTACCAGCGCCAACAGCAACAGCAAGAGGACGCGGAGAGACGTAAGAAATTGGAGGACGAACGCGAGGCTATGCGAAAGCAAGAAGAAGAGGAGCAACGACTGCTGAAAGTGAGGCAAGCGGAAGAAGAAGCCAAAGCGGAGAAGCTCGAGTGGGACAGGCAGGAAAAAGAATGGCGTGCGAGGGACGAGGATCGCCGCAAGAAGGAGGCCGAAGCTCAAGCACGCTTGAACGAAGAGCAAAGCCGTTTAAGGAGCAAGAGTGACGCGCGACTACGGGGCCAGTTTCTCAGCCAATACCAGTCTGAGCAAGGCATCAAAGCACAGAAGACTGGAGCCGATCGGATTGCTGAGCTGGAGAGAGAGCTCGAAGAGGCCAGGGAACGCGAAAGGCAGTATGAACTTGAACGCCAGGGACGGACGGGCAGGACACTGGCCGTCACCAATGATCCCAAGGAACGCGTTCGGTCTAGGAGCCGGCCTTCCGATGGAACCCCTAGCCGTCAAGACTCGTGGTCTAGAAATGAGCGTGAGGTTCTCCAGACGGCGTGGTCGCAACACCAAGACTCAAACCAAGAAGACGAGCCCCCCGCGCCACCACCAAGATCGCCGAGACCTCTCCCTGATCCGATGGCGGTCGCCTCGCCTCCTCAAAAGGCTGTAGCGCACACAACAGGTGGTCGGCCCCTCCCGGATCCTGCTGCTTATCAGGCGGCTGCTCGGGCCCCACCTAGCCGAACTGACAGATATCTCAACAACAACGCAGCTCCTGCGCCATTGGTCGCCAAGCAGACTTACTCACGCGAGCTTGTTGCTACTGCTGAGCAAGATGGAGAGGACCGCCGGCGCGCTCAAAGTCAGACTAAGACCAAGGCGGGTGGCTGGGCATCAAAATCGCTGCTCGAGCGAGAGATGGAGATGGAACGTGAACGCCAGCGTGAGTGGGAAGAGTCCCAAAAAGAGACGGCCAAGGCGGTTCCTAGTGGCAACGGAGTTGACGGTATCGGCGGTGGCATTGGAGGTCGCTGGGATGTGAGCCAGTGGGCGGGATACACTGGGGGAGACAACCAGAATCGGGGTGCTCAGGGCATCGGGGCGGGTCGTAGACAGATTGTCGGGCCCAGGCCGCTGCCCAATCCTCCTCGGTAAGAGATGTTTGTCAGATAGAAGGTGGTCTTTACTGTTTCCTGAGCGTAGACAGGCAATCTGCATGAACCGGGCCTAGGGCGGTTGTGCATGAAGGAGCATTGGCCTGGCAATTACCAATCTTGTAATGAAGAGAACATTCACATAAACCTGGCTAGTACCGATTCACTATATATAGACCCTGGGTGCCTTGGCTGGAGGTTTGAAATGAACCGGACTCTGTGAGTTTCGAGTCTGTTCTACCTTTCCTCTCTACTTTTCAACACAGGTTGTTTGGTAAGCCCTCCTGTCTCTTGTGTATCTCGAGGCAGCCAGATTGATGGAGCCTCCTTTTGCTTCTGTTGACATCAGATTTGTGGCGGTACTATGCGTAAAGTTTATGAGCAGCGCAATTGGACTCGTGAATGTGTAATTGGTTTTCTTTTTCCAAATTCAACGGCTGAAGAGAAGGATGGAATTTATCTCTCAAAGCTTCTAGGTTCGTAACCGCCATTCCAAACTACCATACGGAATCTGGCCAAGCTCCTGGGATCTTCAACGACCGTTTGTCTCTTTTCAGATATCCAGATCGGTAAAGTTTTTTCATCTGCCTTCTGTTGAACCTCTCCTGCATGAGTTCCTGGGCGTATTGGAAACTTGCAGGAGGGTTGCCGTCGGAATGTCGATGGTCCCAATAGAGCAAAGGCCCGCTTGGATCATAGTCCCGTACAAGGTTGAAAATGAGTGGCCATTCAGTTGCTTCGGATGCAGAGAGTATACAGAATTTCCACAACACGTGCTGCCGACAATGCGTGTTCTCTATCATCGTCAGGGCTCCGAGATCGGGCAAAACGTCGTGTCTGAGAAATTCGCCAAAGTTTTTAAACTCGTTTCTGACTTCGTGTGCTGTGCTGTGCGGGTCGACATTTCGGTACAACAGAGGGACGTCAAACCCAGCAATCTGTGTTATACATGGAACCCATATATTGGCCTTGTTGTAAGGGACTAGCCAATCGATGTATTGCTGGAAATGTGGCTCTTCGCGTTGGAGATACCTGTCAACATCAATTCCAGCTACCAGCAAAATCCTTACCCAATGTGAAAGGGCAGCCTCGACTTCAGAGTGACAGAAAGAGCTTCTAATAAGAAGGGAAAGCGCGGTGTTATACCTTTGAAAGCGACTACATGTATACATGTAGTAAGCGTGGATGTTGCAGATCCTGTTGACATCCACCCCTTCTTTGATCAACTCAACAAAAAGGCGAGTCCAGTCTCGCGTTCGCCGACCTTCTCGGCACCAAAACGGAGAAAAACTGATCTGCATCTCCAAAAGGCGAACTGCCATGTCCCAGACAGCGTCGAAGAAAGCTTTTCTCTCCATTTCATCCAGGCCAGGCACTCTGCACCGTCTGTACACGGTAACCAGAGACTCAAGATCTCCAACACAACTGGCCATTAGCCTAAGTCTCATGGGTCTGGATATTTGTGTAAGTTAAATAACTTCATCTACTTCAAGAACACGGCCCAGGGTATCAGAGAGTCCAAGTATGGGATTGCGACTAATCAGCCCGGCCCAGTGATCAGGCCTACAGATGCTAGCCATTTTGTTAGCCCGCATACTTGGTAAAAACATATGTCCATCCACGTTCTTACTTCTCATCTATGCACAAATCAAGATTCTGCTGGGCGAGGAAGCGGCAAAGAGACGGCTGACTGCAAACCGCTGCCGACTGTGACCGACATGAGGTTAGCCTTCCCAAGATCTCCATCGAGTGCTGAGCACCAGGACTTACCTCGAAAAGCGTCCTATCCCCAAGCATGGTGCCTAGAGTGATTGTTCTGTTAGAGTGTAGATCTTGCAGCGCTGGCAAGTTGCCATCGCACATAATATGCAACATCTTCTCCACCAGCTCTCCGTCTTTATCTTTAGAGAGAACATGGCGGACAGCGAGGGTGCAGACCATGGGGGTCAAAATGCTCATGGACCAATGCAGTTCTATTTTGTAGGAAAACCTACTGTGCCCGAAAGTGTAAGTCTTGATTTCGCTTGTATTGGAAACCTCCTGTGCACCGTGAAAGCTAGACTTCTTGAGTATTGTCCTGGTCTGGGTTTGAATTCGAAAGCCGAATGCTTTGATCATTTTTTGATAGCCTGTTTTCGCCATTCTTGTGTGCCTTGGCTCGGATGGGAGGTCGCCGTTGTGATTTTGTTGAAGGACAGACTGTATGTCCATAGATCTCACGTTCAACAAGTCAGATGCTTCGCTGTTGTGGTGGATGGTCAGCTGCTGGATAACGTTGCATCTAGAGCTTTTCACAGAGTCAGTCTGGAGCTTTCAGAAGTAATAGTTGAAGGGCGCACAGTATTTCCGCAGTCATCATATGCTGCAGGTAATCCAGATCATCGTCCAGCCACTTGCTCAACCGAGATATATCTTCTTTGCATTCCAGAAATAAGAATCCTACGTTGTTGAAGGGGCGTCTTTTTCCACCTTTTCTTTCCAGCTTTGTGATAATGGTATGAATCTCGGCGAGCGTCGATGAGATGCTTCTGAGAACGCATATACCCCAGGTCTTGATGAGATCAGAGCACTGTCTCGAAGATGCGTCTCCCTCGAGACTGTCCTTGATCGCACCGCATATTACCTCGACTCTTTCGATCTTGAGTACCAGCCGGTTGACCTCCGCCGAGGCAGACCTGTAAGCTGTGACGACTCTCTTGACTTTGACGGCAGAGTCGATGAGCTGCAATGAGAGTCCAATCACTCCAATAGCTGCCTCCATGGATGACGAGGGCGATGTAATAGGCAGGTGGAACCGCAACTAACAGGAGACACGAGAAGACGCAAACTTTCACCAGAGACTTGAGAGACGGATGAGGCACCTTATTATTCTACCATCGAGTAAGGAAAAGTCAGCGAGACGAGGCTGTCAGGCAGATTTACCCCTCCCGGACCCTACTTGCGACCATACAGTCGTGGCCTAATAGGACCTCACCGCAAATAGCTTCGCCACAGCCATACCGATTGTACAAAAGGTTGGTTCCGTTTGCGACCGTATCATTACCCAGACAGTGGATTGCTTCCTTGCCAGACGTTGGCCATTGAATGGGGATACTTGGGAGGGAAAGTGTCTTTCCCGAGTCGTCTCTAGGAAAGGATGCATTTATTACGGGTTGCATATAACCCTTCTACGCGGTGTCATGTACTAAACATCTAATTATATAGGTCCTGAATGCTTGTATATGCATCTTTCCCCTCAGCCATCGTGAATTATTTACTCAAACGTAAAAGTCGAGCGGCAACTTTAGCCACTCGCACTGCTCGACATCCTTAAACCCTTTCATCATGTTCTCTTTCACGGGCCAATCGATGGCCCTCATCTTCATGTCGCCTTTCACAGATGGCTCCCAGGGCCCGGACTTTTCTAATGCCCTCAACGTACTGGCGAACCCTCTTGCCTTGAGGAAGGCCTTATCCGGATTGGGATCATAAGTTCTTGCAAACGAGGTGAACGTGTCGACGAGATACTGCATCCAGGGCAAGTCGTTCTCATCTCGGAGCGGGTTTCCCTGACGCACGAGATTGCCAAACAGCGGAAGTAACTCGCCCGAGTGGCATCGTAGGTTGTTGACGGGCGACTTAGGATCTCCATTGGGGTGGGCTTTTGACTTGGGTGCCTCGCAGATGTCAAGTCGCGGCCACTCGGGCGTCTGGTACGTCCGCTCAAACTCATAGTAGTACACCTTGGACCCGAGGACGCCGTTTTCCAAGCCCGCGTACGCCGTAGCCTGGTCTACGCAGCGGAACATCGCGTCGGTTGCAAGCCTGGCACCCACCCCGAACGCCGCCCGCGTCTGGTTTCTGACATCTGTTGGAGGGAAAAGACGCTGCGGCGGAGCTGGGAGACCTTGAGATGTGAGCCACTGGGTATCGTTGAGGACTGTCCCATTACGCGGGAAAATCAGGAACGGCAAGCCGTCTTCGGATGTGATTCCCATCATGACATTGACGTTGAGAGAGTCTCCCCTGAGAGGCAACTCATCTGTCGTCAGGTAGACGCCATCGTTGACGAGGTACCGCGCTCCTGGTCCTAGACTTCCAAGCGGCGCGTCTCTGAGACAGTCGAGCTGCGACGTTGCGTTGGTGCAGTTCGTGGTGCCGAGGATAGCGTTACCCACGAGGTCTAGCTGTTCCTCGATGGAGAAGTACTTGGAGTATGACGTCCCGTACGCCAAGCCTCCAAGGTTGCTGAGCGGAATAGCGCCCGCAAACTTCCCGGCAGCCTTTGGAGACGCCATCATCGCGCGGACGGAAGCAGCTCCGGCGGATTGGCCAAATATGGTGATCTTGCTTGGGTCTCCGCCAAAGTCTCGGATATGTTGTCGGACCCAGTCCAACGCCAGAATCTGGTCAGCGAGACCAAAGTTGCCGTTTGTCTCGCCATCGTCAATGGCTAAATAGCCCAGAGACCCCAGCCGGTAATTGATAGTCACGACAACTACGTCACCACGAGACGCCAGGTTCCCCCCGTCGAACAGGGGATCGCTGCCGAAGCCACTCGTCAGAGCTCCGCCGTGAATCCAGAACATGACCGGCCGGAGACCGCTGTCGATGCGTCTGTTACGGGGAAGATACGGCGTGTAAACGTTTAGGTATAGGCAGTCTTCTGCGCCGCCGAACCCCTGATAGCAAGGGGATCCGAACTCGAGTGCGGTAGCATTACCGCCAGAGCCTCGATACATTTTAGGGTATGCGAACCGCTTCGTCCTTGTAGCGTAACGCATGCCATGAAAGCGGAAGCTATTCCTATCGCGGAAGCCGAGTACCGCTTCTCTGTTGGAGTAGACCACAGTCTGCCACCTCGGACTGCTATCCTGGGCTATACCGTTCGAGTATGGTGCCGTCTGCGTGCAAAGAACGGTGTTCGTGTCGGATGTGCCGGCAGAGGAGACCTCGCCTTTGAGATTGACCGTTTGGGGATCATCACCGTGCTTTGGCATGACCCAGATTGCTGACAAGTCAACATCGGGCTCTTGATAGTCGAGAATATTTAATATTCTCTGCGTAGAGTTTGAATCTGCTTCCCACAGCTGTTCGCCTAGATCTTTGCACATGGACCTGGCCTCTCGTAAAGGCACCCGGGCCCTGAGGAAGAGAGCGCTTGCATTGGCTGCTGGGCTTTTCGAGTCTAGAAGGTTGCCATTGTCAGTCAGGGGCTTCTGGATATGTGAGACTGGTTGCGACTCACCCAGGAGGTCATTGTCTCGAATGATAGTTATGTCGGTCCTGAGGTCCTGGGTTGACGGTACGCACGAAACAGCTGCAGCTAATAAGGCGACCAGAGCGAGCACTCCCGCGGGCATGACGTCTTACACCGACACCGAGATGACAATTCGCCGAGAAGAATATCGGAACCCATATATACGAACATAGAGAAAATCAACAACCAAAACCAAAGGAATGGATGGTAGAACTGTCTATTTCTTCCTTCTGAGCAATGTTGACCTGGAAGTACAACAAAAGTGGCGGCAGTCACTTCAACATTAAAAGAGTTCCAGGGACATCCGCTCAACTTAACCCAACCGGACTGTCCATTGCGCTGAGTGAACAGGACAGAAGCAGGCCAAGGATCTCCCAAGCAACAAGGCGAGCGGGAAAGGAAGAGTCGGCACGGTCCGACTAGGTGCCCAAGTCTTGCTCTTCCTCGCAACTCAGAACGACACACTTGGCCCTCCTCCGTCCTCGCCGCGGGGCCCTGGGAAAAAAGCTCAGGCACCAGAGTCGATCGAAGCTTTGGGATCAGCCTATCCGTGTTAGAGTGATTTCTTTACCGGGAAGACCGCAGGGCTAGAATGGCAGACGAGAGAGAGATCCCGAGCAGGGAAGCATGATGGACGCGGGCACTCTGCGAGTTTTAGGCTGGGCGCATGAGATCGCGCGGAGGCCGATGCTTCTGGTCCGAGCCAGGAGCAGGCTGGCGGAAAGGTTGCTCAGGTTTCAAAACTCAAGGCTCTCGCACGCTCGCGCGCGCCGTGCTCATTCGCCTGCCCCGCGACAATCATACACACAAACGACGTGGATTTATCGCGTATGGCGCAACTTTGATTTCTAATTACTCCGACGGGCCGGTGAATTCTTGTTTGACGCTGCAACCCTTACTCCACTAGAACTTGATGGTGTGGGTGTTGTTGGGGCTTGTAGGGCAAAGTTCTGGGTGCCATTCGATTGCCGAACGTCCGGAACTTTGGCAAAACGTCGTACTCGGAGCCGTTGCTGTTGAATTCTCGAGTATGATCTACGAATTCGGATCGGTGCGGCGTGGATTGATGTAACACCATGTCAACGTCCAAGAGCGAGGGCATGAAGACGAGAAGGTCTGGCCAAGGTGAGAAAGCTCATTGTGAGATGAACGACAATGGAGTCGGGAATCGACATGGATCAATCTGACTTCTACTGTTTTCGTGCAGCACCGTTTGATTGTTCTATCGTTCCATGTCTCTCTTTACAATTTTGTTGTTGCGGTAGTGGCAAGACGCCAAGAAGGACGGCGAAACAACGGAGACCGTTCGTTATGTTCGCCATCTGATGCGTGCTTTCTGTGCTTTCTGCACATCTACTGAGTCGTCCCTTGTGAGGTAAACTCTATGTCCTGAAGAGGATCCTGTCCCGACGAGGTAAGAGGACTAGGCCAACCGGTGCCTGACTCACGTAGGTTATGGAGAGGATGAGGCTCAACATGGAACAACGTCAACCCTTCCTGACATCTAACACATGTCACAGCGAGACAGACAGGTATTGTGTCGGATGAACCGCGATTTCTGATTTCTCTGGCTACTGATAGCTACGCAGGGGGCTGCAACTACCAAGGCGCAGTTCCTTCGCGGTATTCTCAAAGTTGATGATGGTGAACCAAAGCTAACCCAAGTTTCCCGAGTTTTCCCTTGTATCCTTTTCCAACCTTCTAGATGTTACTGGTGATTTCAGACATCTATTGATGCTTCAGAGGCGGGTCAGACTTGCAACAGTCGTACTTTTCCGTTGCGACGATCCAGAAGCTGAGTGGAAACTCCTTGCAGCCGATACTGCCTCTGACTTCCATGCTACCGTCCTTGCCGCAGTGATCGAAGCTCTGAGCGAAGATACCAAACATGTCGAGATTGCCGATCTTGGAACTCATGCCATTGATCGGGGAACCTTGAACATTGGCGAATTCAGAACCGACGGCGATGAGACAAGTGCCGATGCGCATGAACTCAACCCACTTGGTGCCACGGAGATCAAGGTCAGAAAAGGTCCAGGTGCCGGATGTCTTGGCCACATGCTTGTATATTTCCATGCAGTCCTTAGCCAAGGCCTTCTGGTCGCGGTTGTAGCAGGTAACGCCTTGTCCCTTACAGACCTTCTCGGACTTCTCGCTTTTCTCAAAAATGTGACGCTTGGAGAAGGAAGAGGTGCTGTAGTGGTTGATGATGGAAATGAAGGTGTCTTTGGTAAGGAGAGTATCGTCGGCGTTGATGTCACCCTTGGCAATGTTGTCGACACTCTTCTTGGTTTGCTTGACTTCAACAATCGAGGAGACCGCGCCCTCGACATCGGTGGAGTCGACCTTGTCGACCTTCGGAACGGTGAAGATGGCCTTGCACTTGCCGTTGCCGAGAAGGACCTCGTGGCAGACAGCCTTGGGGCAAGGCGGCTCGGTGAAGGCGCAGAGAGAGCCACAGGCAGGATCTCGGATGATTCCAGGACCCTGGGCAACCGGGTTGGCGGCGACAGCAAGCGCCATCACAGCGCTAACGGTAGCGAGAAGACGGACCATGACAACCATCTTGGGTTATTATTTGAGAGACTTGATTGGTGATACAGATGGAAGCTGTCTCTTGGAGTAAAGAAAATGTAGAACTTTGTCTGCTTCTGACTGTGGTAATCGTCGTATTTGGCAATCGTGGGGAGGGCGGGTAGGTAGAGGTGAAGAAAACAAAAGGCGAGGAAATCTCGAGTGGTATGGCCTCGAGGTGGTAATTGCCTGCTTGGAAGTCCGAGGCAGTGAAAAAGGTGCTTTGAAATTTATGTGTTTGCTCACTTGATAGCAGAGGAAGGAGGGAAAACAAAGGGAGAAGGTGCGATTATGGGTGTACAGAAACGCCATTCGTGAGGGGGAAGGCACGCAGGTGCAGTATAAGGTGAAGAGAGAAAGAAAGCACATAATACCTAAGGTATAATAATCGTTGATCGAACGGATCTGGAAAACCAATATTCACATACAGGGCCCATATGTGAAGTATTCCGCTCTCTGTGCGCTGTGTAACACAATAGCCGGGTCAAGATGAGATATCTTGTCCACCTGAGGCTAAGTCAACCTTCTGTTTTTCAAGGTGCCAGACTTGGGCATTGTAGTGAGTATTTGATTCACATGGGACCAGTCATAGTGTTCGTAATGAAGCCTGTGTATTGGGACTAAAAGTATCCTCCTTCCAATGTGACCTCAAAGAATTCCAAGATGCGGTCACAAACTACCCGCTCCTGCAACCCTTTCCTCGTGGACCCATGTCCGACCCTGTAACGATGTTTGTTCTCGGGAGCCAAATCTCGTAAGGCATGCTCACTCCTCAGTTGTCCCACTTGATCATGTCGGGGTTTGCGATGTACCAGTCGGCAGCGACCTTGCCACCCGAGGCGATGCAAGAAGAGCGGCCAGCAACCTCGACTTGATCCATCATCCTGTGCTTCTCAATGGCCTGCTGAATGATCTCGGTGACATCCTGGTTGCCAATGTTGATACCAGCCTCAGGGCGGTTCTCCTTAGTGGCGCCGACGACAAAGGCGCAGGTGCCAACGACAGAGAGAGCAACCCAGCGGTGCTTGTCCAAGTCGGCCTTGGAGACTGTCCAGTGGCCAGCATTGGAGGCGGCCCAATCCTTGATGGCGAGGCAGTCGGAGACGAGGGGCATGTAGGGGCTGATGTGGCCAGAGTGAAGGCCATTGACATTGTCGCAGAAGTCCTCCTTGCCAGCCTTCTTGTTGGGAATCCAGGTGGTGACTCCAGAGTTGGCGGCAGTCTCCATGCCGTCGAAGTTGCCCTCGTTGGACTTGGCGGGATCGAGAGTGAAGACAGCAAAAACGCTGCCGTCGGGGGCTGTGAAGGGATGGCAGACAGCGTTGGCGAAGGGAGCCTCGGTGATCTCGCAGATCGTGGCGATGTCGGCCTTGACAGGCTGCTCAGCGGGAGCAGCAGAGGTGACAATCGCGCCAAAGATGGCGGAGAAGGAGGTGATGATGGCGATGCTCTTCATTTTGGCAGTGATTGTGAGTGAAGGGTTGAGTTCAGGATGGGATATTTTGATGTGAAGTGTAGAGGGGGATTGAGATTGTTTGTTGTTGATTGTCGATGAGACTTCCGTAAGGGTTGATTTGTTTGTGGGAAGAAGCTTTTCAAGAGAGGGGCAAGGGATTTTTTTCGTCTTTTTGATGTAAATCTCTTGTTGAACACACACTCAGGCGAGGGCGGTGTGTGAGTTTCGATGGCGAATACTATCATGGTTTTGAGTGAAAAAGGGGCAGGAGTGGCTTGAGGGGGAAGGTGCCTCCAGCCCATTGAGCAGAAGCAAACAAAAACACGCCGCGGAAAGTTTGTTTGCAAATGGCTTAATCTGTTGCACCATGGTCAATTGAGCATGCTTTTAAGACATTCATGACTGAAATTTGAGTCTCAACATCGCTGGTAAGTGAGATAACTTCAATAAGGGGTGAGGTATCGTGTGTTGCGCAGCTTCAACATGATCAACGCAACAAACTACCTAGGTTGATATCCTTCATCAAAATCTTTATAACCGGGCTGTTTGAAACAAAAGTCCCAGAAGTTGTTCAAAAATTTCTCAATCTCGTTTTTGGAAACTTAGTTGTGGTTACGCATGAGAGGTCTTCTTTTCACCAGACTTACTCATCTTTGACGACTTGGGGCGATGTGTACGAGGCACGACTACGCTACATACCATTCTAAATCTTCTATCCGATGTTTGTTGCTTGAAACTCGTTAATAGATTCCTCATTTCAGACATACCGTCACTGGAATTCATCATATGGACGAAGTTCTCTTTCTTGAACATCGAGGCGGCTGGGCAACAGAATCGTGTTAAAATCAGGAGGCACCCAAGCTGTCTACCGATCAAAGACGGAGAATATCCCTCCTTTCAGAGACACGAATATTGCCTCTGCAAACGTTTTCCTGGCGTTGAATCTGGAAAAGTGCCAGCTGAGTGGTAGCACGACGTGTGTGTTCCTCAGCAGACGATAAGGGGCCAACATCTCGCACCGCAGGCTGAGCCAGGCATCCAAGCCGTAAACACATACTCTCGGAAAGGCACTCACCTCTGGACCTCGGACTTGTCCGGTCGGATAAGTGGCGCGTGTTGAGACAAGTGCGATGGTGTCCTCGGGTAGAGCCGCTGTCTCAAAAGGCTCTATCCGCCAAGGGAACGCCTTTTGCGTGTTCGACATCTGGCGTCATACCGAGTATGTATCTTGGCACATCATCACCTCACTGCTGCCTTGCTGATTAATTCCTCAGAGAGGCATCGACTTGACGCCGTGTTACAGATGAGCCAACCATCTCCGATCATCCTAGGTAGGCAGAAGATGGATTGCGAATAGGGAGTCGGAAAAGGAAGGCCGAACGCCGTAGATGACCAGCCAAAGTGCTGTACAATGTGCAAAAAACCAGTCAGTCGCGTCAGCCAAAAGAGACAAGGCATCCGCACTTTCGCTAGCCTCGTTGAGAATGGGCAAGACTTTTTTTGACAAAAACTGTGAATTCTGCATCCATCTACACACTTGGCGTTGTAACCGGGCGCAGGCTGGTACATGTGAATGAGGGTTGGCGTCTTGTTGTGTGGAAGCCAAGGGCTCTTCTACTTGCAGGGATTATCAATTTCCTGACTGATTCCTCTTCAAGCCAGGTGCTTTGTAGAGGTTACACCAAACACTCAGCATTCGAGGATAGTCCCACTTTGCCAAAACTTCTTGAATATACTGACATGACGATCAGTTGAGAATGTAATGAGCCGGCGAGAGTGACAGCACTTGTCCTCCCTCGACCGTTGGGCATATATACAGATGACGGCGGCATTGTAGACGGTGAGACCCAGGAGCCAGGCCTCTCGGTTGTGACACGGAGTACAATTTTTCGGCTTCTAAGGATAAAGGAAAGACCCGCAGTTTGACGGAAAGCCGCCAGATCGCTCGATTGTACGCGTTGTGCACGAGTAGAGCAAGGAGGTCCCTGCGGCATTAGGCATCTCTGCAATGGCTACGACGAAGACAGATTCCAGGGTGCATGAGGAGATTTTCCTTGTATCACCTCTGATGTGAAAATCTGCGTGTCCAACGTCGCGCAAAGGCCCTGCACAAAGACGATTTCAGTCGTTGTGAGACCCGGGCTTCTCGACGTGCAGCGCCGATGAGCAGAACGTTGGGACTACACGCATCGAAGGCGCCGAGGTCTGATACTTCTGTGTCGTCAGGATATGCGAGTTCGTGCCATCGCTGTGGATGTTGTGTACCAACACAACTGACAGCCTTGGTCTAGGCTTTTGCTGATCAGCCGCGGCGTCTGAATATCATCAAGCTTGGCTGATAGACGGTGTAGACAGGCCTCCCCTGTCGCTTGAAGATCGAAAGAGTTGAAGAGGTCTCGCAAGGTAGTAGAGACCCTTCGTTATTGCATGGGTGGTGCTTGTCAAGGAAGTAGCCGATCAGAGCAGTTGTCAGTCACGTCAGTTAAGGTGCGGCTCTGCAGTGACAACTGAGACCACTTGGCATTATTGCCTCATTCTTCGCCGCCACTATACATCGTTCGAGCACTCTGAAATGCTATGAAGCCATGGGAACGACGTGAACGGGGAGAAGATAGGCGCCTGCGAAAGGTGGCGTTTGGATTGGACTCGTATCAGAAGACCGGCCACGTAAGATGCTCCATTCAGAATGGTCTTGTCGAAGTGTCAGATGAACCACCGACCAGGCCGGCTCCCAAATCGAGATAGTATTCGCACGTTCCAGACCACAATCTAAATGAGAGACACCCTTCGAATCCTATCTTTGATACGAAGCCGAGGGCGGTACCGACTGCAACACACTCGTCGACGAACAGCCTTAATGTCTCGGTTGTTACGGACTCAGAATAGTCTCTCTCACATCCTGCATAAGACGTACGCATGTCTCGATCGCTGGCATCTCGAATTCGCATCCTATGACCGACAAGAATCTTGTATTCTTGCCCATTCCTTCGTGTCGTGTCAGCTTGATTGGTCAAGCACCTAGGGCTTCTGCCGTGTAACATTATTCTGCAGGTCGTTGCTGGATGTCCCTTATCGGAGTCATTTGATGCACCCCTCACCAATTGGAGTCGTCTGGGGGGGGGGGGGTCGTGGTCGTTGATTGGGGTCGATGATGGCACCCAGAAGTGTAAGAATCCTATACCCGATTGAGCCGGCCCTGGGCAGTGTTGACCGCGAGCCTGTGTTGATTTGCCGATCAAGCCACACAGCTGGACACACTCTGCAATGCGCGTCTTCCACACACCTAAAGAAAAAGCGGCACGTCTTCGGTGAGGGAATCGAGGTTGACAGATATTCAGCCGGGTGGTTGCCTTGTTTCGTGCGGCGCGGACCATTTTCATTGTTCGCAATGTCCGCCTTCCGGGTCGACCCTCCCTCCCGCCCGTCCAATCCGCCCGTGCAAGACATAGCCAGTCTCTTGCGGGGTAATGAGAACCGGTAGAGACGGTAAATGAGCAGCTCTCGGTGTGTAGTGTAGGAGCTCATATTTGCCAAGACATGGTGACAGCTTCCGATCCCAAGTGCAGCTCTAATATAGACGACTCAGGCGTCTTCGGAATGTACAATGCACAGTCGTCGGGGCCCGTTGGACTGTGGTTGGTAACTCGGACTGTGTTTCGGTTTGTCGAGTCCATTCATCGACCAGGTCAAGCTCTCTGGCTATAGTGATGGAGGCAGGCGTCTCAAGTATCGCAGTTGAAGTAATTGCCGTTTGATGACCAGGCTGCCAATCCAAAGGTGAGGAACGTGGCGCTCGACTGGGCGGTGCCCACCACTTCACCGAACCGACAGGGATGGTGCAAATGGATGCCTCGAGAGCGACGAAGTATTGTATGAGTAGGTGGCTTGCTGGGTTGAGTGATAGGTTGCGCGTATGGTAAACAGTTGCATATTCCTGGCGGTGAAAGTCAGCTTCCTGGCTTCCTGAAAGCTCGCAGCGCCCGCCCCCTCTTCTCACGGTCACTATTTCCCACCCTTCTCTCATATCTTCTTCTTTCCCCTCATCGGACGTATGAAGCCGCGTAGCTGACCTCGACACTCCAAGTACAGGGCTCGTATCATCGGAAAGAAATCAGTTGAGATACGTGCTGCTGCGGCCAAAGTTGTTGATGGTGGCCAGTCCGTTCTTCTCGCCGAGCCCAGACCTGCATCCTGCAGTCAGGAACAAAGATCAGGACAGACCAACAGCATGCCAACAGCATGCCAATAGCATAAGTAGCAACACACCCTCCTGTCGCTCATTTTGTCTCATACACCCTTCCACAAAGGACTGCGCTCGCCTCACTTTGTCTGGCACCGTCTCCGAGTCGAGACAGCCACAACCCTCTCGAACTCTTCTAGCACGACATCCTATTTTGAATACTTGCCTCCTGTCTTATTGCACGTTAGCTTCCCGGGACGTCGGGTACGGACTACCATATAAGACGTACCTTACCTGCCCCCAAGCCCCCTCGAGAATAGCCTCCGAGTCCTAGCATTCTTACAATTCTCGTCACCATCATGCCTCCCCTTCCAGCCGGCGTTATCAACCTCCCTTCCGGTCCGCCGAAACACCCTCAAGGGGCGACGGTACGAGGTGGACCGCATCCACCGCCTCCTCCACCGGTGCCTAGACCTCCCGTCCAAGGACCGGCTCATCATGTCGTTCAACGTCCAGCAGCTCCAATGGTAGCCCCCATGATGATGCCTCGACCCATGCCGGTTCAGCCTCCAAACGACGTGATTCCACCTGAGCTACGACGCAAGCGTCTCGTTGAGCGTTCAGATCTTCGCAACGAACGCATGACTGATGCCGATGCACGCGAAGCCTTGTCCGAATATATCGTATACCGTTTCGAAAAGGTCAATGATCCAAACGAGATTGACGACGAAGGAAACCCCGTCAAAACGACCTGGGAGAATGTCATCCGCACAGAGGTCCAGGACCTTTCCAAGCCGGCCATAACTCGAACCATCCGTCAACTTGATGCTGAGGGCAAGACGGCCATGCAGAAGAAGCTCGACCTCACAGGGACGCAGCAGCGTCAGATCGAAAAGGCGCAAAGCAATCTCGACGCACACAACCTTGACAGGCGGTTCAATTACACTCTGCAGCAGATCAGCACCAAGATCAGAAAGCTCAGCAAAGACTCTATTGAGTACCGCCAATACATGGCCGGGAGAGAGGCGAAGAAGGTCGTGGTGACCAAGTTTAAGGAAAGAAAATCGAAGAAGAACCTCCTGGAGACTATCTCGATGACGGTGTATTTCAAACGAGAGCCGCGCTT